AACTGACGAACTTGCAGGTCAGGATCCAGCTCGAAGTGCCACATCATCCTTGAATGGTATCCAGGATCGCGTAGACTTCACTAGGATTGGTACGGCGAGACTACAACGTAAGTTGTCTCTGACCTGGTCGTCATCGTCCAAAGAATGGCTTGTCAGCCATTTGGATTTCGACGTGGAGCTCAGCTCAAGCTTGAGCTTGCGGTCTTGCGGTCAACACCATCATCTTGATGTGACCTGATTCTCTTGTCTGAATTTGCCGAAAAAAACGGCAAGATCCAGCTCTCATCGTCCGACCATGACGAGAGAGGTCAACCATCGGTTTTTCGAACGCAACATCGCATCAAACTCACTCCGCTAGCCAATTACGTGAGGTAAACAACCTCCACCTAGTCTCGGCTTGGGTGCAAGTGTGACGAACGAGTTGGGCTCATAACCTGCGAACGGAGGCCGATGTGCAGTACGATGTAGACATGGGATGACACAAAAGAATAAGCTAAAAAATTAAAAGGGGATTCTACGTCTACCTCGTTCTAGCGAGTCCCGGGAGGTTCACCTCGTGATTGCCAACCACCAGCTGGTTTTGGCTCCTCTCGCACTTTTCTTCTGTGTTCCTGTGGAGTTCCTCCTGCGACTTAGGTGAAATTTGTCTAATTACAGTCTGCTCAACGGCACTGGGTTTGCCTCGCAGGCTTGGGTTGAACACTCCACAATATCGTTCGCGGACACCCTTCCTGCCTTTTGCAGTCTTTTGAAAGTGATAGCCTTCTCACACATCCATGGCCATCTCAATCCAAAACATCCTTCTCAGGGGGAATTGAAGACGAAGTGTGGCGTCTGCAATCAGCCATGACGGTTCTAGACTATGTGGCGGAGGCTGGTTACTCCAAGGATTTTTTGTGCTTGGAGCATCCATCCACAGAGGGAGAGCGTCATAACATCATGAACGCTATACATTTACGAATCTGGGAACTGGTCATGTTTCACATAGTCTCGCGGAAACAAGTTGCTACTCATCCTCTGCTAGAAAGACGTGCTGGAACCTCGGTCAGAACTTCGCCAGAGGTGGAAATCTTGGGCACAACATATGACACTAACACCACAACAGCCAAAAAATGTTTTCATCTGATAAGGCTCTCACTGGCGTGATCCCCACAGAAGTTGGTCTACTTATCAGGCTTATCAGGATTACTATCCCCACTGAGCTTGGTCAGACTGGCCTAGCTGACTACGTTGTATTTGAGCTGCTACAACTCCAAAACCGACCCCAACCCAACTTGAGCTTGTATGACAGTGTTCTCAACCAATCCAGTTTGCTGATGAGGTTGGATGTGTCTACTTGGTATCTTTGTTGCCATAGCATTGGCACGGACGATGGAGTGCACGTTGATGGTATCTATCTTGTTGTGGGTGCTGGTCCTTGGTTTCATTGTGATTTGCATTTTGCAACGTGGAATCGGGAGGTTTTTCCTTTCTTAGCATTGGCATGAAAAGCAGGGGCGTTGCCGTGGAATCCGGCTTTCTGTAGATGTTTAAACAGTCATGCGCTGCTGCTGACTATGCATAGTTTATCCTTATTATTTGTACATCGTACCTTACTTCAAAGATGCGCGACAAAGAGTAGCCTGCCGTTGCAGTGGCCAGTGCATAATTAGACTTGGTAGCTGCAGACCTGCCTCGAGAGCGCATTGTAACTAATCGACGACGATCCTTGATATTCATGAAGCATCACTTTTCCGACACAAGAGATTGATCGAGCTTGTTTCCTGCGAGACACGGCATGCTTTCCTTGAGACTTGCACGACT